AGGAAATGGGCTCAGGTGACAATCGATCTGGTCACTGACTTACCAGAATTGGATGGCTATACTGCTATAGCAGTATTTGTGGACCGTTACACCAAAATGGTTCACTTTGCCCCATGCAGGAAAGAAGTAACAGCCATGGAATATGCCCGGTTGTTTGTTGACCATGTCTTCCGTCTACACGGTCTACTGGAAGTTATAATATCTGACCGAGATCTGAGATTTACCAGTAAATTCTGGAAAGGTCTGTTTGACCTGCTGGGCACTGATCTCCGGTTCAGTATAGCGTTTTATCCTCAGACGGATGGCCAGAGTGAGAGGGCCATACAAACGCTGGAAAACTTCCTACGACCGTATGTTGAACGAAATCCGCAACACTGGGTGAAGCAATTGCCGTTAGCGGAATTCGCCGTGAACAACGCTGAAAATGTGGCCACGGGTTATTCACTATTTTTCCTTAACTCGGGAGACCATCCAATTTTGCCTACATCGATATTACAAGGACATGGAACCTCCCGGGTAGAAGTTGTACAACAGATGGTGGAACGGATGAAGACTGCCCTGGAGGAAGCACAAGCCAACCTTGCCCACGCGCAACGCCGTGCTCAGTATCAGGCAAATAAGTCGCGTTGGGATGAGAGTTATGAGGTTGGTGATGAGGTATTACTGGCCATGCGGAATTTGAGTATCGACCAGCATCTTCCGTCAAAAATCAGACGACGCTGGGTTGGTCCCTTTCCGGTAGTCAGAGTGATTTCTTCAGTGGCTTATGAGTTGCGTCTTCCCTCAGGTTGGAAGATTCATCCAGTCTTCTATGTCTCCAACTTGTGGAGACATGTCCGTTCAGAGAGGTTCGCACGGGTGGAGAAGCCACCTCCCCCGATATTGGTTGACGGAGAGGAGGAGTATGAGGTGGAGGCGATTCTCAGGCATAAGGGCACAGGAGCCCGGCGCCTCTATCAGGTCCTCTGGAAAGGTCATCCAATGACTGAGGCTTCCTGGGAGCCTGAATCGCATCTCCGTAATGCTTCCTCCCTCCTAGAGGATTACCTGCGCCGGGTCGCTGCATCTGAGCCAAAGCGGTCCCGGAAAACAAAAGGAAAACAGAACAAGTGATGGTGTCACCGGGGAGTTTCGAGTGCCGGTCGTTGATGCGGTGGGATGGTTACAGTTGGTGATGGGGTCTTACATCTCGGGGATAATCGCGTTCGGCGCGCCGAACCGGACTTCGATCTACAGGTTGCAACTGAGCCACCGTACCGGCCGTACATGAGCCCATCGTTGGTGCCGGGGGCCTTGTTTGTGTTTGGCCTTTGTATATCATGGGTTTCGTCGGGTTTTTTCTTTACTTCACTTCCTTATGGGGGGAAGTGATGTTGTGAATTCTGGTGGATCCAGTTTTACTGGAGATTTCACTTCATTTTGTTGTACTGCGATAGTGGGGTGAGATTTGGGTTTACTAAATACACTAGGGGATTAGTGTGTCTATAATTTGATTAGCTGCTGTTTGTAGTAAATGAACACCTGATTATATTTGTGGTTCACGCTTCCAATTGTAAGATTCTTTCCGAGTTCCCCGCTCGCTCTCCGCGTGCCCCTCGTGGGCAGGTCCTAGGGCGCACCCAATAGGGTGCGCAACAGCAATGGAACCGTATGTGAGTGCAGCTTATTACTTAAAAGATGACTTGTACTGCCCACTAAAATACAAAGAAAATAACAACGAGATCTGGACATTTTTATGAGAGAGTGTGCATGCTCGGTTGGATGTTTTAATGGGCCATTGTGGGTGTTTTATTTTGGGCATGTACAAGCCCAGTCTGTACATCAGCAATATTACATAATCTAGAAGAGGGAATTCAAAAACATTCTAAGAAAATAAAATTTGATGTTTAGGAGGGCAGTTAGCCATCTTTGTGCGACTAGAATTGGAGCGAAAGGTGATATGGAAAAGATCAGGTCAATATAGCAGCTTTTGTCCACATTCCGGGAATTTATGGGACCTGATCTATGAAGTTTGATATGGAGATATGTATATTGTGAAAATAGAGATTTGCGGCTTTCTAATGAGCCCTTAAAAGTCACATTTGGACGATTATTGGAAAAGTTATGGCTTGTTTGAAACAGGCCCCCTTTTCAAACATTGGGAATGTGACGGCATGACGTCAGCGGATGCGCTGGATGTCCTGCCGTGTCATGTGCCCGGCGGGTGGTTGTTTTGAGGCACTGAGGCACAGTGCGGTCCAATGGTGACACAATATGGTGTACTGGATGTCTGGAGGACGGGTACTAGGATTTGATGTGGAATATTCTGGGATGTTGTTTGAGATGGGGTGGTATCTCCAACATGGTGAGCAAGTATATGTATTGTGAACCGTTTGTTGCTGTTGTTGGACGCTGCCTTTGTGCTTGTTGGCTGGTGCTGTAAGACCCGTTTCCTCAAGGCTGAGTGGGCCCAAAGGGGTACCTTGGGCGCCCAGCCAAGGCCCTTCGTCCCCAGGCGGCGCCGGCACTGCGTGCCACCGCCAGAGCGCTTCGGCGTTTGGGTTTCTGACTCGTCAGAACCCAGCCTCTGACCCGAACGCCCATCTGACGGGTTTGCTGAGCAAGCAAAGGACACCCACCGAGTGGTGCTGCCCTGAACGGGTACCGTGGCGTCTGGCACAACGTGTGCAAGTCGTTTTTGCGGTTGGCATATCGTTTTGGTGCGGCAATCTGTGAGGATTTGACGTGTAACAGGTCGTTCTGCGCTTCGCCGGGCTGTGGGTCAGTCGGGACCTGTTCGCGACGGTCAGGCGACCTCTGCGAATCGTTGTTCTGCCGGTTTCAGTATTGCTTTGAGGGTGCTGATGTTGACCTGCCAAAAACAGGCATCAGTTGGCTGTTTGTGGTGATATCGGCAATCTCATAAACCTGATCTGAGTGGTCTACGTCTCGGTTGTGTGGTGCTCGTTGTGGGAATTGATGCACACGTCGCTGCTGTGGCCTCCAAGTTGTTTCAGGCGGACAGGCTGCTAAGCACCCACGTGTAGAGCCTCACTCTGCCCATCATAGAACTGTGTATCAGGCTGGAATTGCTGGCGACAGTCAAGCGACCATCACGAGTCGTTTTTCTGGTTATCTCTGCGTTGTTTTGATGATCTGTCACCTGCCTGGTACAGAAGAGTACGATTTATGGCACACTGGTGTCGTTGGCGGTCAAGCTGATACCATTGAGGCACTTTGCACATCAGTAAAGTGGCACGCTTAGTAAGAGCCCGTTTGCAGGAGGAGCAAAGCTTGATTAATTTGCGAAATTTGCCTCGAAGTCGTCATGACTGACCAGGCAACCGAGTACTACACATATCAGCATTTCGCTGCCACCTCTTAAACTTCATTGCCACTGCATGACATTGATATCTGTGTGGGAACATGTCAAGTAGATAATCCCATTCAATCCAAACATTGAATCGTTCCAAACTGTTGCCTGCGTCATGGGTGAAGTGCATGCAAAATGATCAGTTACCATCTTTCCTTTACAAAAATGTTCACAAATAGTTGTCCTTGCAGTGTTGTGCGAACATCAGCCATGATCACAAGCTCTCATCTTCAGACGAGCTAGAGATAAATATCCAACGCTTCTTAGGGTCTTTCCATGTTGCCTTTGCCATTATCCTTATCTGTCCATCAACTACAAAGTCACTGTGCGTTCCAAGAACAGCTTCTAGCGAAGTCTCCCTAAAGAAGTTCTTAACTGTGAATCCACATGGATCTGGATCTCCATATTCTGATATCCAAAAGCTTTTGCGGCACATTCGGCCATGCTGCGTTGACCTCCTTGCAGCTTCAAATACCACAGCCTGTGGCAACACAGAAGGATGAATGCGCATATTCACGCCAGAGCAATGGTGTAGAATGTTCTCCGGGTGATGCACTGTCAACTCCACTGTCGCTCCAGAATCTGCCAGCCACCGGCAGCTCAATTTCCATATGTAGCCTTTGTACATTCTTTGGAAGGACGCTGTTCCCTTTTCTGCCATTTCAGTTCTGAACACTTCTGCAGCACTCGTCAAGGAGACGAGAACATCAGGTGCTGGAGATGTCTGCCTCGGAACGAACCTGCGGCCCCTTCCAAATCGAGGGTGTTGATGCCTTACTTCAGCAGAAGTGCTGGCATATGTGCCATCATCAAAGATATCAAACAAACGGGCTTCTCTAACCCACCAAGACGACCAACCCGAGGATGTCTCCAACCATCTCATCCATGGCACCTTGAGGACTGGGCTTCCATTGAAAACACGCATCATCTGTGGAAATCTGACACACCCGCCCAACTCTAAGGCCGCCCAACGGTACGACTCGTCGACAGCAAGCTGCTGGGACCTGCCAAAAGTATGATCTAGCCACTCAGAAACAGCCACGAACACAGTTTCTTCTGCACCTACTTTCAGGTCATCATTCAGCAGCAACGACTTCACGCAGGGCAGAGGCAAATCCAGAAACCTTGCCTTCTTCTCCAAGGAATTAAGCACTTCCTCCAAATCTTGGAACTCAGCTAGGAGCTTCCCTTCCAGAACATCCAGCAGACTAGTCACGGGCGGCAAGTTCCTAATTCTCGAGCTGACAAGTTTGTTCAAAAGTTCCACCACCATTTCATGGCCCAACGATGCAGAAAGCAGGCCCTGGACACAGTGGCCCACCATGCTGTCCACCATGAACCTGTCTGCCATGAACAAAAGGCACATCATATCTCTTGGACTGAGGCGATCTGGAGCTGCCCTCGTGTGAATGAACTTCATCATGGCCTCAAATGAGCTCAGCTGCCCAGCATTTATATCCACCTCAATAGTTTGCTTCTGCCCATTGCTGTCACACCACCTGTGCAACATTGGCAAACAACATCGATTTCACTCAAATGCTGTGTGTGTGTTAGCCCATATCAAAATGCTTCAACTGTCTGTTGCGATTGCATTGTGTCCCAAAATGAGCTCAGTTTGTACAAGGGGAACTCCTTCAACACTTTTCACCTGTCCAACATCGTCTTGAAGACCACTGATGCACTGGCCAGACAGCGTGCATTGGCTGCAAAACATTTGCAGAAGTCAGTTTTCAGCACTTTGCCTTCAAGCCCGCATGGCGCTTGGCCCTCTGATCTGCCATCACTGCTCGCCTCAGGCTCAGCAGTTCGCCGCTTTTTCGGTGCTGGACCATTAGTGCAGTCAGGGCTGCAGGTCAGGCAGGCATCCCCTTCGCATTCTCCAATCTTGACCTTCACCAAGGTGTCGCCATGTTGAGCATTGAAGTCCATTCCTGTCAGTTGAAGCAGCAGGGCTGCTCAGAATTTGGATGCACAATGGTGGTGATGGTGCATTCTACCTCCGGCAATTCCAAGGATACTGGGAAGCAAACAGAAGGCTTGATTCACCGGGATATGGGAATTCCCCATCCCTTGGCCCATATCCTGGATAACGACTCTATTTGATACCAGTCCATTCGTTTTTGATGGGGATCGAATGAGCATGACCGTAGATGACCACTTCAATTCCAAGGCATTTTCACACATGTCTCAAACCATCCCATTTCATCGGAATATGATAATTTTTGAAGGAGGATGATTGGGTTGCGATTCTGAGATGTTGGTGCTATTCAAACACACTTCCCAAATATGTCTCAACCCATCAAAGGTGTTCGCCACAACCCTGAGAGAAGGGCGTCACAAAAGATGTGTATCTCCCAGAAGGCACTGAGTGGCTTTGTAGTATTGGCGGTGCGCTTGTCAAAAGGGCAGAGCTTGGACCAATGGTGATCCAATGGACGCTCTTTGACCATCTGAGTTCAGCAGAGACATGCGAAATGACCACGGTGCCGATTTTTCACTGCAAAGATGTTCATTCATTCGTCCCCCAATGCCTCAAAGCATGTACGGTTCAAACGGCGGCGCGACGCACACGCCCCTTGACGGTCCGATCGCCACCAGAGACGAAAATCGAAACCACAGAAAGCGCCGGAGGCGAAACCACCCAGCAGGAGCGCGTTGCACGCCTCTCCCAAGCGGCTTCTGGACAACACTGGGCCCCCGGTGTTCGATGTTCCCCTCCGGTGGATGAGTGTCGGCAAGCCTCGCAGCAGCCCTCTCCGCATTGTTCGATCCCATTCCCCCCCCCACCCCCCACCCCCTTCTCCTGGGGGTGGATGGGTGTGCACGAGCAATCCTTGCAGTGGAAGTCTTCAGCTCCCCATCAACGTCTTTAGAAACTCCGTCCCAGATTATCGGACTGATCAAGATTCGGGAGGGCCGCAGTGCATGTGGACAGGCGATCCGCCGCTGGCCCAGTGAAGGGACGGCCATCCCGGGCGGGAAACGGGAGCGACCCAAGGGAGGGGGGAACCAGGCACCGCAGGTGGCGCACAGGGGTCGGTGACTATCCCTGATGGTCGACTATCGCCGATTGTCCCTGCTGGTCGATCGCCCCACGGCGCCGATTGTGTGAAGGAAATGGAATTCGGACGCGCGGGGCTCACCTGTGGCGCGTTTGCCTCTCGCCGCTGGCGCCGGGGGTCACTCGGCCAGTGGATCAGCGGGCCAATGGTCAACGTCGTCTGTCCGAGCCGTGGGCCTCGTCTGCGCGGAGCGTTCGCGCGGAAGGGCCCTTCAACAAAATGGCGGTGCCGCAGTTTCTGGCAAGCCATGTGTGCGTTCCCGTTCCCGTGCCCCAAACAGACGGGGTTGCTTCAGTGAACAAATGATGTGAACGGGATTGACGAATGTAATGATGATCGCTGTGGCCTGCGGGCGCACAGGACGATATACCAGAGAGCCTCAGAGTAGGCGAGGATCCCGTCACAAGCTAGAGGCGGGAAACAATTTTACATTTTGTACTGCTTGCACCAAATCGGTGACTGCTTGCACCAAGTTACGAGCACACTTTGTCTTGACCTCAATTTTAGGGTTAGTTTTAGTTTCAGGGTGAGTTTTAGGGTTAGGGTTAGGGTTAGGACAGGTTTAGGTTTAGGTTTAGGTTTTAGGGTTTAAGTTTTAGGTTAGGTTAGTTTGGACGGACTTGGACATGATGTGCACGTGACTTGGTGCAAGCAGTCACTGATTTGGTGCAGCCAGTAATTTTATGCCCTAGAGGCAGTGAAGGAGTGATCGTTGTTTGCGACCCATCATGTAGCTTGTGATCTCAAAGCATCACAAAAGCACATAAGCATAGCCACAAGAATACTTGCATATATGTGCTTGTAGGTTTTAACATGTACAACATCAATGCTAAAATGGGGCATACATTAAATCCGACCCGACCTTTGCCATTAATATAAATATTTACATTGGCGGCGCCCACACAATGGCCCGATACGGTGGGCGCATGTATGGGTGCTTGCTAGGCGCACACGCAAACGTCTTAGTCGCTAGTGCCCAGCATCCAATGACCACCTGGGGGAGTTCCCCATAGGATGGGGACTGCTACCGCATGTCCTGGCCCCAGAAACGGGTCCCCAGAGGCCTCTGCCAACATGCTACATCGTGCAAGATCGCCACAAGCAAGCTATTGACAAGACCAGACGAACTGGCACAAAGGGCCATGCGGAGAGGCCGGGCAGCCGCACCATCACCGTGATGGGGTGCTGGTTTCCGAATCGCGCGTTGATAGCGAACGAAGTGTGCCTAGCGGGATTCGACCCCGCGTCCCTTGAATAAGGGTAGAGCGAATCACCCACTAATACAAAGCCTTCAGGCAATGTATAGTGGTGAGCACCCTATTTAAACCCTTGTAGTGACTTGGCCGCTCTCCCTTTCTCTCTCCTCGCCATATCACGCGTTGCCGCCGCCTTGGCGCCCGGATGGCCGGTAATGGCCCTCGCGGCCTCGATTGGCCGCGGCTTGCACGGGGCGCGCGCTCGGTGCACTCCTAGGTGGTGGGCTCAGATCCCTGGAGGATCGCTGGGGCCGCGGCGAGGAGTTTCCGGGTGCTGCAAGCTCGGTCGCGCGGGGTGTGGTCTGATCCGCGTGATCCGGGGGTGTTTGCCAGAATCGACGAGCAAAATGAATTAATGATGACACGACCGCAAGTCTTTTGTGCGGCTGGGCGTACCGCGTCCCGGGTCGCCCGCCGCGGGCCCAAAAACAACCAAAGTCAACCGTGCAATGTACAGCCGTTCCCCAAGCCGCCGTAAAGTATTGCAGCTGGCCGGAAATCACCCAAATAAAGGAGTACCTCCTCAAGGCCCTAATCCCATCTACTAGGGCCTTTAATCAGGTTGCCAATTAACATAATTTAAGGCTATAATGTTCCCAACAAGAGGCCTCAGGGAACAGGGGGGAAAGTCAAAGGAGTAAACTAACTCCCCATGTAACTCCATGACACACCGTCTCAACATAATGGGCTTGGTGGCGGCTGGCTTGGCGGGCACTATAGGCATCGCAGTAGTCGCTGTGCCTCTAGGGGCTGCTAGGCGAGGCATTTCCATACCCCTCATTGAGATCTACGGGCAAGTAGGAGGACCAGGTTGTGGGGCAAGGCCGCAGGGCGCTCCTTGCATCCACACATGGGTTGAGATAAGAGGGCGGAAGCCAAGGCGAGGTGTTGCGGCCCATCAGCAGCCACTGGTTTCCGGAGCGCCAATGGGGTCGCCACACCCTGTAGCACAAACCCTAATGTGGGTTGGCTTCTCCACCCAACTGGGTGGGCGTTTTCGGGGTGCTCGCTTCCTCGGCCGCGTGGTGGGCCCAGTGCTCAACGGGGATCGTCCCCCGGAGCTTGCTATATGCGGCGGGTGGTGGCGCAGCTGGGCGGTGGCTCGCTGGTCTATGGGAAGAATAGCAGTGGGCCAAAATGATTATTGTTGCGGCCCTGAAGGGCGCCGCTGGTTTCCGAAGCTTGCGGGGTTGCCACGCCATGTGGCTCGACTAGTGACGGTGCAGCCGGCCCTCTCCACCACACTTGGTGGGTAGTAATGGGGCGATCGTTCCCTCGGATGTGCGGTGGGCCCAGATGCGAAGCGGATTGTTCCCCGGGGCCTGCTGTATGTGGTGGGTGGTGGTGCAGCTAGGCAGTGGTTCGCTGGTCGCGGAGAGACCACGCAGTGGGCCAAGGGTCGATTACATTGGTGACCTGCATGCGCCTATTTCAACACCCGCGTGCGCGCGATGCCCGATCGCAGGTCCCTCATAGTCACATCAATATAGAGCAGCATACAACAATATATAATGTATTGTTAGGTGTTATGCGCACGTGTCCCCACCCACCATTCACCTAAACCAACTCCGTATAATCCCCGATGCTTCGACCTACTGGTCCGAATCCCTTGCTAAAGTGCTACAACTTCAACTGGCCATAACTTTGCCGTTTCTATACGGAATTGGATGTTTCAAAGCCTATCAGCAATAGGATAAGCCGATTTCTGCGTATTTGCACTTCTTTGACTTAACTTACCTTCAAAAACACCATTTTTACCCTATCCCCAAGTAAAATCACCACAATTACAAGGGTAACCTGCATGCGTCTATTTCAGAACCCGCATGTGTGTGAGGCCCGATCGCTGTTCCCTCGCAGTCACATCAAGACAGGATAACATACAACAATAGATGATGTATTGCAATGTATTATGAACATGTGTCTCCACCCACAAATCACTTAAATCAACCTTCCTTAACCTCTAATGCTTCGACCTATAGGTCCAAATCACACATTAAAGTACTAGAATTTCAAATGGCCGTAACTCAACCGTTTCTACATGGAATTAGACGTCTCAAAAGGTAATTAGAACCAAGAGCTCCTAAATAAGCTTATTTTAGGGTATTTGCACTTTTTTGATAAAGTCTAGTTTCAGAAATGTTATTTTTAACCTACCCCCAAGTAAAATTACCACACGAGGGTACATGTGATGTGGCTGCTTGGGGTTTAGGCTTATTTTCCTGGTTCCAACGCGCCTTTAAACGCCCAATTCCGTCAAGAATTGATGAAGATATGGCCTCCTGAAAACATAGTACTTAGGGTCAGGGGGTCGGGTGTTAGACGCTTGGAATTAGAGGACAATGGGTCGATCGTAAGTGAACAGTGGATGGTGACGATGTGCCTGGACGCGCACTTGACTTGTCTTGTCTTGATGTGATAGTGATGGACCCACGATCGGGCATCGCGCATGCGGATTTGTGCGTGCGCATACAGGGAATTCGTGTAACCGTTCTGGCCTACTCTCTGGCCTCCCGCGAGCCAGCGAACCGCCTCATCGCTGCGCCACCACCTCCCGCTGATAGCAGGCCTCAGGGATCGATCCGCGCGACCGCCGAAACGACTGCCCCGGAACCGCCCACCATCCGAGGTAGAGAGGCCAACCGACCTCCAACGGCTGTGCTGCAGGACAGGGCGACCCCAGAGCCTCCGAAAACCAGCGGCTGCCGACGGGCCGCAACAGTACAGGTGGAGAGTGAGTGCACATGAGGCGTTTAGAGTTGCGTTCCCATGCTGAAGACGCGGCACTATGGGCGCCACTACGTGATGGAAGGAAAAATCCACGTTGCTAGTGCTCAAGAGGTGGGGGCCACTAAGGAAGATGGGGAGGAAAGCAGGATCCCAAGGCCAGAGGGATGGAGCCATGCGGGGCATAGGAATTTTAAAACATTTGAGGATATATGGATAACAAAACAACCACAGAGGTCAACAACTACTAGTGCCCTTGAAGTTCATGCAAAATTTGCACTACAATGGGACACATTGTGTCTTATAATTGAGTGCATGGTATTGGAATCAACTGTAGGTTTCCAAAATGATGGCACCAAGTTGGATCAATGTTCCCCCTGTGGTACATTAATTGTTCACCAGTTCCCACTTCTCATCATTGTGTCACAACTGTGCGATCGCATGGAAAAATAAGGCCCACCATGCAAACATGCTTAAATGACATTGTAAAAACATTGCCACCAACTTTTCATCAATCTGGCCTCTTCAAATGCCCTTCTCCTGCCTAATTTCCTCCAAAATGCCCAACATGGCTGCCATGTTTTGATGCTCATGGCGTTGCGCTTTTCCTTCAATTTCAAAACATGTTTCCAGCACTTCTTCAGCATCTGCAAACTTTCCTTGTTTGTACATTGCCAGCCCAAATTTGTCCAGACTCCTTACAACATCTCCATGGACATCTCCAAGCATCGACTTCCTAATTGACAAAGCTCTTTTGTGGTATTCCCCAGCACTGGCATACTGCTGCTGTTTCCATTTTACATCTCCCAGCCACTCCAGGCTGGATGCAACATCCAGATGCTCAGCACCCAATGCCTCTTGTCTGATGGCCAGCGCCCTCTTATGGCATTCTTCAGCCTTAGGCAACTTCCTCTGGTAGTATGCCATCACGCCCATATTGCCAAATGTTTGTGCAACGTCTGGGTGGTTGCTACACAGGGACTGTTGCTGGATGGCTAATGCTCTCTTGTTAAGCTCCCGTGCTTCAGAAAACCTTCTCTTCTGAAGCATCCAGCCTGCAATGTTATTCAAGCTGTGAGCAACATCTGGATGCCCTGTCCCCAAAGCTTGTTCTTTTATTGCCAAGGCCTTTCTGTAGTGCCCCTCAGCCTCATTGACCTTTCCTTGCATGTCCACTGCTGCTCCCAGGTTGTGGAGACTGTTTGCAACAGATGGGTGATTATCACCCAGAGCCTGTTTTCTGATGGCCAAAGCATGCCTGTGGTGCTCCTCAGCATCACGGTACTTTTTCAGCTCAAACAGGACACATCCCAGGTTGTTCAGGGAATTTGCAACATCTGGGTGTTCATTGCCCAGAGCTTGCTGTCTGATCTGCAAGGCCCTGCTCTGATAATCCTTTGCCTCTGACAACTTCCCTTGCTGAAACAGCACAGCACCCAGATTGGCAAAGCTACTGGCAACATCTGGATGGCCATCATCCAAACCCAGACTTCTGATGACCAAGCTCTTCCGCTGGTAGTCTTCAGCCTCAATGAGTCTCCCTTGGTCTGCCATCACTATTCCTAGGTTGTTCAGACTGTCAGCAACATCCAGGTGGTCATCACCTAAGGTCTCCTTCCTGATGGCCAAACCCCTGGCATGATATTCTTCTGCTTCAACAAACTTCCCTTGTTCCCACATCACTGATCCCAAAGCATCAAGGCTCTGTGCAAGGTCTGGATGTTTAGCACCCAAGACCATTCTGCTGGCCAATGCCCAGTGCAAATGCTCTTCAGCTCTGGGGAAATCTCCTGCCTCCAACATGACCCGTCCCAGCCCAAAATGGGCTCTTGCCAAATTTGGGTGTTCAGCGGCATACACCTGCTGCACGATATCAAGTGCCTTGCAGGCATATCTCTTGGCCATGGGAACATCAGCTCTCCCAATCATCACATCCACCATGCCAATTAGGCCTTCTGCCATGTTTGGGTGGAATTCGCCCAAAGCCTGCTCTGTGATGTGCAATGCCCTCTCATGGTGCTCTCCAGCCTCTAACAGCTTTGACTGCCTACACATTACCCGCCCCATGCCATTGGAACTCCGTGCAGTCTCTGGATCAGCATGATCACTTGCAATTCCCAATGCTCTGTCAAAACACTGCTGTGCGTCAGGCAGTTTTCCAAGATCAAGGAGCACAAAACCCAGATCATTCAAGCTCTGTACCAGCTCCAGATGGCTGTCACCCAGCTCCCGAGTTCTCATCTTCAGTGCTGCGCTGCAATATTCCTTGGCCTCTGGCAGCTTCCCACAGTGGTGCATGACAACTCCTATATAGCCAAGGCATGCTGCCACATCAAGATGCTCATCACCCTTGCATGCTTTTGAGATATCCAGGGCCCTGCTATGTGCTCTCTCAGCATCATCAAACTTTCCAAGAAGCAAAAGAACACGTCCCAAATGATTCCAGCTCTTGGCCACCAGTGCGTCCACATCACCATGTATTTCTCTTCGAAGGTCTAACGCCCTCTGATATCCTTCCCTGGCTTTTTCGTACTCCCCACGCAGTTCCAAATCTGCAGCAGTAGTCTCGAAATCAGCTGCTTCTTGAAGGCGGTCCATGTTTGACACGTGTCCAGAATTGCAGCCTGAGACTTGTACCTATACACAGCAATCCAAAACACATATCAGTCAACAAACACACACTCTTTTCACTGACAACTGCAAATTGCCAGGTGCACAAGGCCAAACTTTAAGAACCTTAGCGCAATAACATAGATCACATGCAGGCATTCCATAGCACACGCCCATCCTGCCTGAGACTGCAGTGCAGAGCCACTGTCTTCTTCCAACATGGCTTCCACTGCTGCCTGCAGTACAATGCACACAGCACAGAGCACTGAGTGATGCAGCCAAACTGACTGTCACGAGTAGCACAATGAGTTAAATCAGTGTGATCAGATCAAATGGCTGTTGAGAAATGACTGCCAGCATCTGTGCCACCACAAAGTGGCAGGGGATTAAAAACGGCAAATCTCTGGGTGTAAACAGTTGTGGACACCGACAGCGGAATGTATCACCTAACAGGGGCAAGTGCAGGGATATGCCATATTTGAATGAGGTGACAAGTGATATCCGCAATGGAACTACCGAGGATAAGGTCATCACCACCCAGCAGCAGCACACTGTCAGGACTGCTGTAAGACAGACAAGGAACAGCGAAACTTTCAATTGCCTGCTGTCTATGCCGCTGTTCCCATTCACTCCACACTTTGTGCGTGTCTGCATCTGTTGGTCTCGTGCCTCACCTCCTCTGCTTGGGGTTCCATGGTGTACAAGGAAGCCTACCACAAGCTTGAAGTACAAATTGGGAGTTCACAAACACTCCACCTCCGATCAGAGCAACATCAACAGCCCACCTAGTTGTTCATGCAGAGACAGCAACAGTGAGGTCATCAACAACCAGCTGATCCCCAGCCATATTTCTGTTCTGTGCAGGAAGTACAAGATTCCACAGAATCGTTGCCCAACTCCCTGACAGCAGATTATGCAGGACTTTTTCCTTTTGACAATGTGCACAACATTGAAGAGACTATGCATCATCTTGTACAGTGTCAGAAACAGACTCCCACCCCTGCTGGCCAATGCCACCAACACAACAGCCCCATTTCTTTACAAGCAAATGGCAAACATCAGAACATCATACTTCTGCCATGGCGATGCGAAGCACGAACATAATCGCATCTGCATGGTATGTTCAAGCACCTGTGCTCAATTCCACCCTCAGACATCCCAGAGAGCGATGTGGGCTGGAACAGTCGATGGGTGGCCAAGCTCGACCTACCAAAACCCGAAAGAGCCTTGATGTGTGGTTTGCACAATGGTTTTTGGCCGACACTGTTCCAGGCCAGAAGGGTTTTTGGCTGGAGCTTCTGGGCCCTTCTGGCCCAAGGGACCAGTGCTGTGCCTCACCCGAATTTCCCTGGTAGTGAAGTCAGCAACTCTTTCACCACTGCAATGGACAGCAACAAATTTGTGGTTGTCAACATCCAACTGGCATCACAGGGAGGCAAACAACTGGCCAGATGCCTATCGCTGTAGACAACAATGCTGCAGGCATGGAGCTGCTCATCGTGATAGGGCCAACATCTGCATTCCTTTTGTAGATAGCTTAGCCTTTGAAAGATGAAGCAGGGCCCTGGCACCTTCCAAGCGCCTGGACAGGCCGACAACTAAAATCATTTCTCTATCTTGCCGTCCAAGGACACAGTGAGCCCTTGGGCCTTGCGGGCATCAAGACAGGGCTGGCAGCTGATTGCTTTGCTTACAATTGCCTTACACGGACAAAACGGGGCGCCGCGCCTTGCAGGCGTCCGCACAGACCAATAGCTAGGTTTCTTTGTCTGATATTGCCTTCCATGGACAAACTTGGACCTTGGACCTTTGCAGACATCCAGACGGGGCCAATAGTGAATTACTTGCTTAAAATTACCTTTGAAAGACAAAGAGGTGCCTTGCACCTTTCAGTCGATGAGGCGAGGGCCTGGCAGCTAGCCAAGACGTGGGAAACCGACCGTGCAGGCCAGTGGCGATGGGTCAGAGGTTAGTGGGTCAGTGGCACCAGCAGAAAACGGCATTTTGGCGATGCCAGCTGCGATGCTTTTCGAACCCTAATTGGCGCCGTTGCAGCTACTTTTAGGGCATCGCCGTCACTGTGATGGCGCTGCACGCTGTCAAAATGGTACCGCAATTGGCATCGCAAAACATGGTGCTTTCTGCAACCGTGGAAGATCGGGGCGAGGGCGACCCGGCCAACCGACCGGGACGACTGCGGAGCAGCCGGGTGCCCCAACTGGGGAGCGCCCTTGGGCTCATGGATCCAATTAGCCTCGCAAAGGGCCGCCGCACCTGATGCCAGGGAACCAAAGAAGGTGACGGCCTCACGCGTCGACGGTGCGAGATGCGATGGGCCGTGCGGAGTCAGGCCCCAGGGATTGACCGAGTTGACCGCGTTGTTGACCTGTGATCCGGCCGTTGGAATTCACGACGGGGTGCCGTGGGGATGTTCGTGCCGTGCGTGCCCTGTTGTGGATTGCGGGTTGGAAATTTCAGATTGAAACAATGCGTTCATCATTTGGGGCAGCAGGAACCCGGCAGATGCAAGTGGGGAGATACACTCACTGGGGTGATGTACTCTGAAGGCGCTGAAACCCTAGTTCAACTTTACCTTCGAAAGAGAAGAGGCGCCCTTGGCTCCCTAAAATGGCCGTCGTCGCCAACATGGTGCAAGGGTACCGCTTTTCGAAGCAAGCGAATTGTGGATCTAATTTGGATGTATATCCGCTTGGCGTGTATGCACCCAGGAACGTTTTATGTCCCTCGTCCATACATTTGTCTGCTCGCAATCCCTCTACAGCGCAGTGTGGGGAGCAATACCGTGAGAACACTGCGAACTGCGAATACTGCAGTGAGCAGCGACCTCCCATGGAGTTTAGCGCAGGCTAAATTTCCTCCAATGAAAGCACCCGCCGTGGCTGACTCAGCAGCAACTGTGACCGCGAAAGGGCGTGTTGGGGCAACCAGGATGTGGCAACACAGGGCCAGGGCCCTTGTCGCATCAACCCTTGGCGTAGGTGGCAATGAAGACAGCGATGAACCTTCACAGGTGGACAGAACGCTGTTGCCCAGGCATGGTATCTGCGTTTATGTTTGCGTTTTTGCGTTTCCATTTTATGCGCAAAAATGGAAGATTGCGAAAGGGTTATTTGTGCGTTTTACGGCTCGTTGGCGCGCACAGGTTACACAATGAAACTCGTGCACAATGATCTGTCTTCCGTCATCTCCAACACCCATAACGCAATGTCCACCTTCCTTTCGGCAAGGGGAACGTCGGCATGAAGCAAATGTTCGTTTTCTTCCATTACAGTTCGTCTGACTGCCACTCCCCGGACTCCCAAAGTCTGTATGTGTACACGGGGCTGTATATACGTTGCATTTACGTATTTTTGGGCGCTTTTATGCGTAAAAAATGAAAAATACTTATTAAAGGCATGAACATAATAGGTGTTTACGGCGTAAGTACCAAGCCTCCTGTTAGCGGTGCAAGCTGCGATGCCGTTGTGACACAAATATATGCAGTCGCAGTTGCTTGATGCCCTCTCAAGCCACTGTGATGGCGCAACTTATAAGTGCTAATTAGCGTCGAAATAGCGTCGCGGTTGACGGCTCCAAGCGGGCGCATCTACCAATGGAAGGAGCATGTTGAGCGTGTTGAAGCCACTTTTGTTGGGATGGAAAGATACATGCCTGTCGAGGACAGGCTCCCTCTCTCCAAAGGGTGAATTATCTGTGAATTCAAACCGCAAATTCACAGGCATTGGCTCCCGTCGAGCAGCAGGCCATCATCCTCAAAGAGTCGCGCAATCGCTTGCAAGCAAGTTGAACTTCACATAATTCCTCCCCGTTAGCACGACGCCTCACTCCCCCGTCAATGCACGGTTGGAAACCTCCATTCCTCCTAAGCCACCAGCCCGTCCTTACTCCACCACCAGCTATGCCTGGCATGCACAAGTACGGAGAAGAAGCAGGAAGGTGAACGGAGCTCCGCCGCTGCGGAAGGTTCCTATCCCAGCCCAGTCCCGAGCGAGCCAACGACCAACGCAAGGCGGGCCCGTTCTTGTGCAGCAACGGGCCTGTACACACGACGATTGTACGGCCTGTGACGCGCACCATTCGCAGGGCGACGTACTCTTCGGGAGCGCGTGCCGAACGTGTTGCGCAGCTGTCTACGTCGCAAGGTATTGAGAGTATCCGTATCCGTGATGATACGATATGAATATAGATTGCGCGGAGGCTATCAAATTGGCGTTGTGCCTTCAGTCAGTCCGTTCAGTGTGCGTGGCTGCTTTGCGGCGCCGCGCGACGTTTGAAGGCGCCTGCGCACGGTTTGTGGCGCGCTGACTGAACGGCTGCCGTGCGGGTTGTTCTGGTAATGCGAACGGTGGAGCGCCCCGTTTCAGTGCGATGTTCATCCCAAAGCTTGTGGACGAGCTGCCGGCTAGGTTCATGTTAACGTGGCGTCCGCCACCTGTCAGGACATCCTGGAATGATCCGCCAGGGCCCAAGTACGCGCTCCCTGGAGGCCCCGTCAACATCAATCGTGCTCTTTTTCTGGTTCGCGCCTGCGCCAGACAGCGCTCGAGGCCGCAAGGTGACCGCCCGGCCGCTCGGCGCGGCCACTCCCTCGCCGCCACTGCCGGGGCCGCGCTCGCGTTCCTGTTCGACGTCCGCAATCGGACACGGATCCGGATTCGCTCTTCACTTCTTCCCTCCTCCCGCAGGCCCATCGCTTCCCTCGAGCTTCCGGCCGGCCATAGCCGCGCCGCTGCGGCCCCACGAGCGGCATCCCAAGGTGACGATCGGCCCTCGCAATGCTCCCTTTGGCTGAACGTGCGACCCCACCCCCCACCCCGCTTCACGCACGGACATAGCGTCAGACATTCATAGGTCGCATCCGTGAGACTCACACACACCCTTTGCACCCTTTAACCCCTTTCCTCCCGCCGCGGGGGTGCCTCTCGCTGCCGCGAGGCCTGCGAGATCAGTTCGCGTTGCTCGAGCGCGAACAGACGACGGCGGCGGGAGGATCGATTCTGCGATGTCTGAAAGAATGGAAGTGGAAGGGGGTGGGACTTATTGGCGCCGTTTCATCTGGCGCAGGGCGTGGCAGAGCGTGAAAGCGGCCGGCCGTGAGCGTAACGTGTGTGTGGGGGTGGGGGTGGGTGCGGGTGGGTGGGTGTGGGGTTGGGGGGGGACGTTGTGTGTGCGGCGTTGGTGGGGGCCCGGTGTTTGCTACATCAGTCAGACATGGGGTGGTGTGATTCTGTCATGCCACCCCACTGGCCCCCCATATCACCTCACTGTCCACTTCCACTGGCCTATCAGAACTCTTCGTCACCGCCATCTCCTCCCGCGTATCACCCACCCCACGCCTGCCCTGGCCAACGGGAGCGCTTCATCGCGACAGAAACTGGAATAGCATCAGTGCCGACCACTCAGAGGCGCTCCCATCGACCTGCGGCCGGACGTCACTCTTCGGAGCAATCAGTTAATTGGCCCCATTCACAGGTTGCAGCGGCCCACACTTAGAACGGCGAACGTCACATTCGGCCAATCAGACACCAATGTTTGGGACGGCGACTGGGCTCGCTGGGGGTGGGCCCTACACTGGTAGAAAACAGCCTGTTTGCGATGCCAGCTGCGATGCCATTTTGACACAAATTGATACCGTCACAGTGAGTGCGATGGCATAAAAGGGGCTGTGATGGCA